ATTGATCACAACCTTTAACCTTCCCGATTGCCAAATGGATGGTGCCACATTGTTAGCATACCTAGAAGGACTCCGCCCTCAGGCGAGGGTTCACACTGTCAAAATTCATGAGGTCAAGTTATAATTTATTAATACAGATGCAGAAGTAAAACTGTCACTGATAACTATTCTTTATTTTTTGGTATATCCAGAGAAGAAGTCAAATGATAACAAAATTGATGCTTGTCAAGCATGAAATTACAACATTCATTAACTGTTTAATCTTGTCAGGTTAAATAGGGATTGGTTCCCCAGTAGGATTGGAATATAATAATTTCAAATACTGTGTATTTATATTAAAATAATAATTACCTTACTAGGGACTGCAAATACTTGTAGCTGAAAAGCAAAGATGCCAATACCTCTTGAATAATAATTTCTTAAGACATTTAACTTAAATTAAGTTTTAAATTATTTATGTTATTTAAATTTTTTAATGATTAATGTCTCCAATTAACAATTCTTCTCAAAAATATTTTATGTTTAATATTTCATTAAAAACACATAATTCATCCTCAAACTGCATTACATTTTAAATGGTCATATTTTTGCACCTGTTCTATTATTTGTTTATCTATAATAATAATAAGAAGAAGAACACATTTTATGGTTTCATATAGCTAAGAAGACATTGGTATTCCAGCCAACCAAGCTTCTTAAGAACTACCCCAAACTCAGTGGCCAAAGACGACCATTTTACCAGTCACATTAGCTCTGTGGTTCAGGAATTCAGAGAGGACGCCGTGGGAACAGTTTGTCTCTTCTCCAGGATGTCCTCGGTGGGTAGGACACAAAGAGTATTGGTGATTGGATGGCCGAGGGTTTGTGTCATCTGGAAGCATTTTATACATAGCAGTTGAGGCTGGCTCTGTGCTGAGTCTTCAGCTGGAATTGGTGTTCTAAACATGGCTTCTTCAGATGGCTCCTCAGCTTCCCCGCAGATTGGTGACTGAGTTACGAGATGAAATGTCTGAAGAAAGTGATACCCCGAGAGGAAATATCCCAAGAAAAAGGCATATTTATGTCAGTCTCTGAAATAGCATAGCATCATGTCCATATACTCTTTTGATAGAAATACTCAAAAATTCTCTCCAGATTCAAGGAAACAGTACAGAGAGCTCGCCACTAGATGAGAAGTGTGCTGATATTATACTTTAATTAGAAAATATATGAGAGGTCATATAAGGAAAATAAAACTACCACACTAGAATATCTGAGAGAATGAAAGCAAATTCTATAGGAACCCAGGCCTGAGGGTTTGAAAAAGAACTGAGAGCTATTGATCTCTTTCTCATCTTCCACTCACTTCTACTCATCTCTTCTTGTCTATTAGCAAATTACACCTCATTTTCTCAGCGTCTGTACACTATTTTCCAAGGAAGAATATTAATTTGCCCTTCCTTGCATCATGGGTCCATCACCTAGACCAACCAACGTTGCCTGAGAATGAAGAACTATGAATGTTCAAACATAGATGACATGTGCAGGCCATGTACTGAAAAAGAAAGCTTGCTGGGTAATCTATAAGGAGTACCATGTGCAGAATTTAAGTAAAGTTATTATTTATGTCAATTTAGTGTCTACCAGCCTTCTAGCATTTCAAAGTTTCGTAACCGTCTACCTAAGAACTTCATACTTTGCCCTTACCTTCCACTTTATCACAAGCCAGCTTTCATAACTTTACTAAGTTTCCTATTGGGAAGCAAGGTTCCTTCAATCTTATAACCTATACTATTATATTTTAATTAGAAAATAGATGAGTGGTCATATATTAAAAAAAAATTCTGTCTGACTGCTTTCATTTTCTTTGACCATACATGACTTTGATGTTTCAAAGGCCACTCCAAAATTTGATTTTCCACCATCCTTTCAGCTGCAGCATCCCACGTGATTGTCCTTCTACTTACAATGTGGTATTGTCAGGGCTGTGGTTGAGGTGTATGTGTGGGGAATAAAACTTAATTTTCAATGGATTCTTCTTCCTGGAGCTCACCTTCTTGAGCTGGGGGAGCTCATAAAACAATTACCAATGGGGTTACTGAATCACTAGTCTTATCCACTGGAAAACGATGGAAAATTGGATAATCTGTTTTAGTTCCTCACTGATGTAAATTCTTAACATGTCAAGTTAAGACACTGTCAGCTGCATGTCCAGAAAATTAAAATGCTGTTCAAGCAAAAGGAAACTTATCACCTCACATAGTTAGTAAAACTGGAAATGGGAAGTTCCAGAACCAGTTAATTCAATAGTATTTGATCAACATAAAAGACCTATATTCATTTCAACCTGTCCTTTTGGCCATCTTCAATAGTTTATGTGGTTCATTTGGATATCTGTTCTCATGATGATTAAGATGAATATCTATTTCAGCATTTAAATACAGAATGATTTATTCATGCTTGTGATTGAAAAATTGATATTAAATTGGATAAAAATATTTATGAATTTCATAGTGTAGCATGAGAAACAAAAGCAAAGAGTCGATTATAATACAAAATGCTAAATGTCACCAGGGGTAACAATAATCCAAATTCAAGAGCAAGTACTCAAGTTTATCTTGAGAAGTTGGTGAAGTCTTTCCCAATGAATTAATTTCTAAATTAAACATCAATGAAGTACAGAGATTAGACTAATACAATTGGAGCAGAAAGAAAAAACTGTTTCAGATAAAAGCTAAAGGGAAACATATGCCCCATGCATGGGAGTGTAAGAATTTCTATGTATCAGGGCTTACAGTGAGAGGAAGATGGTGGGGAAAACAATAGGCACTATTAGGAAGTGGCAATATTGTGAAGAAGCATGGTGACCTTTGTACTTTAGAAAAGTGTTGGAACTTGAACAGGAGTGATACGTTAGGAGCATGAGAAGAAAGGAAAGGGGAACCCAGACTTTCTAAGGGGTTGATTTAAGAATTGGTGTGAGGTTATTCTGGTCTAAATACAAGTAATTCCAGAGGGCAAAAATGAATAGATAGATAGCCAGATGTACAATATAGAAAGGTGAAAAGATTGCACAAATAGATTGTCATCGGTTGTGAAGAAAGAGAAACACTGAGGCGGGAGCCTTAGTGGTCCAGTGGCGAGACTGCTAACCAAGAGGAAGGGAGTTTGAACACAGCAGCAAGTCCCCAGGAGAAAGATGCCGCACTCTTCCCTGTAAACATCACTGCTTTGAAACTCCACGGGCCAGTTATTCTCTGCTGTCCTGGCTCCAAGCTGATTTGATGGTAATCAGTTTGGTTTGAGGTTTTGAGGATAAATCTTAGAGCTTTAAAAACTTTAACAGGCTGGATGTAAGGTGTCATAGGATTGAGGACATGATGCATAGGGATGATGAAGAAAGATGACAAATCAGTTAAGACATGGTTACTTTGGTGGGAAATTCAGTGGAGATGCTTGAAAGATGCTGAACAATATGAACTTTGAGCTCAGGAAAAGATCTTAACTGAAGATGAATTATAAGAATTGCTAGTATATTGACCATGATCGAAAGGTGAGGTGATGGATGGCCACTTCTTTTTAAAGCTCCATAAGCTTTATCTAAAGGTCCGTGGTTGGTGCAGATTGTATTCTCTTAGCTATTAACTTAATGGTTGGTAATTTGAATCTACTCAGTGGTGCTACAAAAATCAAGAGTGGGACTTTGCTTCAATCTTTGCATAAGTCAAGAAAACTCTATAGAATGTTTCTACTCTATAACACAGGGGGTTGCCATGAATTGGAATGGACTGACAGCAATGTACTAATCTTTTTTCTGACTTAGCATTCTCTTTACTACAAAGTCAATGCTAACTCATTGTAACCCTATAGGACAAGGTAGAAGTGCCACAGTGGGTTTTTGAAACTGTAACTCTTCTGGAGAGTAAGAAGTCTCCTCCTTTCCTCTGACTGAGACTTAAATAATTGATAATCACCATCATACCAGCCCCCACACACCAAAACATGTACAAAAATTATTAAGTACCTGTCCCTGTTCTGATCATTTTCATATTTTGACCTTGTTCAGTTCTCTAAGGAACCCTATGATGTAGGTATCAGTATTATATTAATTGTATGGAAATGGAGGCACAGAAGGCAAAAATAATTAACTAATTTAAAGTTACACAGTAACTAAAAGAACTTGAATTTGAACTAAGGAAGTCCTCTGTAAGGCTTGAAACCAGCCAAAACCACCAATGGAGCTCAGGAGAAACAGTAAAAATACAGAACCCATAAGTCTAAATACATAGTAGGTATTATACAAGTTTTAAAAAATACTTCAAAATGTACATTTCATCTTTTCTCTTTGGAAAATATACTTGGAAACCACTTGGAAGTTCTGGTTTGCATTTTAAATTCTCAGGCCCCTATTAATTGCACACCACAAACATGCACACCTTTCTCTTTGCACCTGTGGTCTGGCTGCACACTATGTGAGGCCTCCTTGCTTTTCACGGAGATAAGTCCACCATCAATTGCGAGGACTGTCTAATATATATGTACTTGTCCGAAGGGCCTTCGGTGTATGCACTTGAGGAAGAAAACTATGCAAACCCTAGAAACAGGGCATTTTGTACTGATAATAGTGATATTTGATAGTGAATTCCTGGGTCCTAACTGCCTCACATAGGGTCTAGAAGTGGGGCGTTAAGTTCCAGATTAGATGTCTTCTTGGCTTTGAGGAACGATACTGCTTTGGGGAGGGGTACAGCTAAAGAGACAGAGCAAGCTCCTCGGTATGGATTACTCTTGCCTAAGGCTCAGCGACATGACCTTGTTTCAACGGCGATGACACTTCTGCCTTTCACACTGGTGAAGATTACAGATGTTTTAGTTGAAGTTACACAGTATATACTATATAGGATATGTTACTATGCTATTGGAGAGAAGATATGGCCATTTGTTTGAAATTGTATTTTAATATTAAGTAGTAAATAATATTTCTCATTACTGAAATATCATGATTTCATATTTTTTTGTAGGTGGGCTTGAAGCATTTACCAGATTCCTTAAAACGGAATTCAGTGAGGAAAACATTGAATTTTGGATGGCATGTGAAGATTTCAAGAAAAGCAAGGAACCTCAACAAATTATCCTTAAAGCAAAAGCAATATATGAGAAATTTATTCAGAATGATGCTCCACAAGAGGTATGGTCAAGAGATGAAAATGTAATCACACAACTGCTTGAAAAAATTGTCTCTCATGAAATGGGAATATCACATATTCCATCATGAAGGTTTAAATTTTCTAGAAGCTACAGTGATTAATTATACAAATTTTTATATAAAAACAGGGTGTATTGTAAGATGTTACGATAGACAGAAAAATATCATTGAACCCATTCCTTGGAGTTATTTCCATCCTAAACTAAGAGTGAATTATATTTAATTGCAACGCCTAGATGGATTCATTAATCTGAGGAATTGCTATACCACCAGTAACTTAGCAGAGAGACAAAGCGCTCTGTACCTGGTGAAGGCAGGAGAAGCCACGTTTGTATTACTTAGTTTATGATTGTCTGCCAATAACAAGTTCTATTTGCCCCCAAACCTTATTTCTCTACCTCAAATCAGTCTAAAATAAAAATTCCATAACAGAGGGGTAATGCAAACTTAATTTGGCAGTGGTTTAAGGGAGGGAAAAAAAAGATAGTTTCCTTTGACTCTAAGCACAAAGTAATTGTGTGATGTTATTGTAGAATGACTACAAGATAAAAATATATTACTTGATTATCCAAAATATCAATTACTTACAATTTTTATTTTTCTACTTTGATTTGTAATTCCTAAGATCTGTTATACATGTAGTAACCGAGGTCTGGGATAAATCAAAGCTCATCCAAAATATTTTTATATTAAGTAAATTTATACTTACTGTGGGAGGAAGCAAAATATAGTGAAAACAAAACAAAAGCAGTTTTAATTACCTAGCTTGTAACTTTAAGCAAGTTTCTTATTCCCCAAGGAAGTGAATAAAAATGCAGACCTGGCCAGTTTCTTAAAGGTATTAAAGCTCTTATAATTAATGTATTCACATATAGATTAAGTGTCTTCCTGCCTTTCATAAATATGTGTATTTATAAGCTCCTAATAGGTGCTCAATAGACAGTGGCTCTTAATTGAAGTGCTGTTTTCTCTGCAAATCGCACTATGAGGTGGCATTGTCTATGCGTTCACACCGAATGAGGATTATTTTCCACTTCGGTGTCTTCCAGCATGTTTTTTGTGTCCGTGTGTTACTCTGACTTTCTAAGACAAGGTTAATAGGGTAAACATCGTAGGTAGTTGTATTGTGCTACCACAAGGCAAAAAGAATGTCCCCTACTCATAACCCTGCCACTATCGGACCACACAGCAATACTTTGATAAAAAGCATTAAAATACTTTGTATCTTGATAAGAATATTAGTAACCTAGCACACATTGGCTTGTAGGTAAGCATTCTAACACAAAGAGAGTAACCCTGAGATAAGACAAAAGCCTCATATTGAAATTCTTAATAAACTCCAAGTTCATGCAAATGGTTTACCTCTGTGAAGTTTAATTTCCCACTTTTGAAATGAGTTCAATCTGATGATTCCATGATCATTTACTTTTACATTGTATTTGTTGAGGTTTTTAGGTGTCATTGAGACACTTTTAATACGTGGTGACGCATGCGTCAAGACAGAATCATTTCATTGAGTTTCCTAGGCTGCAATTTTTTTGTGGAAGCTGATTACCAAGCCTTTCTTGTGATGGACTTCTAGCTGAATTCCCATTGATAATTTTTGCTTAGCTGTCACCAGTTCACCAAGTGCTCCTAGTTAATGCCTAGTGGCTCTTTCTCTTTATTTTATCCCACCATTCTACGATAGAATGCAAAAAGAACTAGGAAAAAGGGGAAAGAAACAATGGAGTAAAGTATTGATTCCTAGACCCATGGTGAAGATGAAGGATTGCAGGCTTCACTGTGGATTACAACTCAATGTAAAGAAAACAAAAAATATTTACAACTGTCCCAATAGGTAACATCATGATAAATGGGGAAAAGATTGAAATGTTCAAGGATTTTATCTTACTTAGATCCATAATCAGTGCTCATGGAAACAGCAGTCAAGCTATCAAAGAACACATTGCATTGCATGAATCTGCTGCACAATAGCTCTTTAAAGTGCTGAAAAGCAAAGATGTTCATTTGAGGACTAATGTATGCCTGACCCAATCCCTGGTGTTTTCCATGATCTTATTTGCATATGAAAGTTGGACATTGAATAAGGAAGAATTGATACATTTGAATCATGATGTTAGTGAAGAACAGTGAAAGTACCATGAACTACAAACAACAAAACTAGAAACAACAAATCTGTCTTGGAAGAAGTACAACCAGAATGATCCTTACAGGCAAAAATGGTGAGATTTTATCTCACATACTTGGTACATGTTTTCAAAGGAGACCAGGCCCTGGAGAAGAGCATCCTGCTTGGTAAAGTAGAATGGCAGTACCGGAGAGGAAGGCCTCAAGGAGATGGGTTGGCACAGTGTCTGCAATAATGGGCTCAAACATAAAAATAATTAGTAGATGGGTGCAAGACTTGGCCATGTTCCCTTTTGTTGTGAATAGGGTCCTTGGAGTTGGAACCAATTCAACAGCACTTAACAGCAACAACTTAAGGCTCTCTGCTTCCAAAAATGTTTACAAACTTGGAAACCCTAAGCTGATTGCTCTGAGTCAAAATCAGGGCACTGGCAGTGGATCATGGGTGAGTGAGAGCCATCAAAAGGAGTCCTGTTCGTTCAGCAGTTAAGCTTTCCACTGCGAACAAAATATAAGCAACTCCAACTCAGCAGCCACTCCCTGCGAGGAAGCCCTGATGCTCTGCTCCTTGTAAACATGTGGGTCAGTCCTCTGTCCGGCAGCGTCATTATGAGTTGGAATGAACTCCATGGCAGCAAACAAAAGTAGCTATAAAAGAAAATGTAGCTGAATGTAGTATGTTGGCTCACAATATTTTTTAGTCTTACTCTAATGATCTCTCAAAAGTGTTTTATTTATGCAGATTTTCTCTAAACTAACTTTTTTCCCATTTTTTAAAATCGTTTTATTAGGGGCTCATACAACTTTTATCACATCCATACATACATCAATTGTGTAAAGCACATTTGTTCATTTATTGCCCTCTTCATTCTCAAAACATTTGCTCTCCCCCTAAGCCCCTGGCATCAGCTAATATTTTCCCCTCCTTCCCCACTCCCCCTCCCTCTCTGCTCCCCCTCCCTCATGAACCCTTGATAATTTATAAATTAGTATTTTGTCATAGCTTGCCCTGTCTGACGTCTCCCTTCACCCACTTTTCTGTTGTCTGTCCCCCAGGGAGGAGGTCACATGCAGATCCTTGTAATCGATTCCCCCCTTCTAACCCACCCTCCCTCTACCCTCCCAGTATCGCCACTCACACCACTGGTTCTAAAAGGATCATCCGCCCTGGATTCCCTGTGTTTCCAGTTCATATCTGTACCAGTGTACATCCTCTGGTCTAGCCAGATTTGTAAGGTAGAACTGGGATTATGATAGTGGGGGGCGGGAGGAAGCATTTAGGTACTAGAAGAAAGTAGTATTTTTCATTGTTGCTACATCGCACCCTGACTGTCTTATCTCCTCCCTGATACCCTTCTGTAAGGCGATGTCCAGTGGCCTACAAATGTGCTTTGGGTCTCCACCCCACACTATCCCTCTCATTCACTATGATAAGATTTTTTGTTCTGATGATGCCTGATATCTGATCCTTTCGGCACCTCGTGGTCACACAGGCTGGTGTGCTTCTTCCATGTGGGCTTTGTTGCTTCTGAGCTAGATGGCCACTTGTTTACCTTCAAGCCTTTAAGACCCAAGATGCTATATCTTTTGATAGCTGGGCACCATCAGCTTTCACTAACTTTTCTTTTTTTAACTCTGCAGGTTAATCTTGATTTCCACACCAAAGAGATCATTACAAAAAGCATCACGCAACCCACCTTCTACACGTTTGATGCTGCACAAAGCAGAGTGTATCAGCTTATGGAACAAGACAGCTACACACGTTTTCTGAAATCTGACATCTACTTAGACTTGACAGAAGGAAGACCTCAGAGGCCAACAAATCTTAGAAGACGATCACGCTCATTTACCTACAATGAATTCCAAGATGTAAAGTCAAATGTTGCCGTTTGGTTTTGAAAAAAAAATCCCATATTTCTCTCACTTTGATAGCAAATTCTTAAATCAGCCTCTAGGTATAGAATACTTATGTTAACAAATGGGTACTTCCTTTTAAAAATTACATGTAAAAGCACTTTAAAATTATAAGCAAAGAGTATACTAGCAATAATAAAGTACCAGTGGCTATATTCCGTATCTTTCCATTTGAAGGAAGGGAAACAGAACCAGAAAAACTTAGAACCTTAACTAAAAGGCAGTCAGAAATAACTTTTCTAAGTTAACTGAAGGAAAATGCTGAGAAAATGTTTGAATTTGATCAAATATCTAGTTTTAGTTATTTTTTTCTATATTAATCAAAATAGTATTCAGATATCCAAATTTATAGATAGCATTTGCCACAATAATGAAGACTCTCAGTCTTAGAGGCTGTAAATATGTTCCATTTTTTTGCAATGGTAGAGAATGAGCATTTGTTCCATGGTCACTAGCCGAGTTCAAGGCAAAACAACAACAACAACAAAAACTATCAGCACTCAGTATGAGTTACCAATAGGACTTTTGGGAGAGAGTACATTGATCTGGAAAAAATTCCCATATTAAACATAACCCAGTTTGATTAAGGAAATTGGAATCTGCACTTGGACTCATTGCTAAGTGAGTATTAATTTACCCAATTATATGGGACATACTCTGAGACAATGATCAGATTAAACATAGTGCCAGGTATGAGATTAAATGGAACCTGTTCTCATTTTCTAAAAGTATCTGCTATTAAAATAGGGGGTCAGTGAGTAGTTTGAATAATCATCAAGGAATGTTTATCCTAGAAGTAATCAAGTTTAAGTTTGGACGTTTACGGTTAGAGCAGAAATTAAGAAATAAGAGTAGGTGAAGTACCAAAATGTCTTAAAGCTCTGGATATTCACCTGCAGGCCACTTTGGCTCAATTCAGGAAGTGTTTTCTATTGGTGTGTTCCTCCAAGACTTGCTGAAGACATTGACTACTATGTCATTCAAGTAAGACATGTACTGATCCATGTAGAAATGCACCTGTATTTCTAAGTAAATACTTTACTGAAGATATGCTTTGCATGGTCTGTAAATATCTGTATTTAAAGATGTCATACCTTAGGTTTTGGCAGATGTCATTTTATTTGAATTTTAAACTATAATCCATTCCATCTTTTATAGCAGTAAGCTTTGCATTTCTTCCTTTACATGGTTAATGTTTGACTACTGGGTCCTTTCTTTGCTTTTGGATACTGTTTCCTCATAGAAAATTATGCGTGAGCATGTGTTCTAGCTTCAGAACGATATTGGGGTGCTGCTGGGGCCCACCAAGTCCATTCTGCTCAGTGTGACTCTGCACTGTTGCTGTTGGGCGCTGCCACTTCAGTCCCGACCCGTAGCAAGCCTATGCACAACAGAAGGAAGCCTTCTGCTCCTGAGCCACCCTCGTGATCAATATGTTTGCGTCTGTTGTTACACTTCCTGTGTCAGTTCATCTTGTCGACCGTCTTCTTCGTTTGCACTGCCCTTCTACTTAACCAAGCTTGATGCCTTTTTCTAGGGACTGGTCTCTACTGAAAACATGTTCAAAGCGTAGGAGGCCAAGTTTCAACATCCTTACTTCTAAAGAGCATTCTGGCTGTAATTCTTCCAAGACAGGTTTATTTGTTCTTTTTTGTCAGTCCCTGGTACTTTCAGTGTGAATTTTCAGCACCATAATTCAAATGCATCGACTCTCCTTCGGTCTTCCATATTCAATGTCCAGCTTCCGCATGCATATACAGTGATTGGAAATACCCTATAGAATGATGTAGCAACTGTATGAAAGTTTGGTGGCACAAGAGATCATCGCGCTGTTACTAACTGAAACCTTAATGGTTCACACATACCCAGCAATTCCACAGGAGAAAAGACCTGATAATATGCTCCCATAACGATTATAGCCTGACACCTCCCCCCGCCCCCAACGGGACAGTTTTACCCAGTTACACTGGGTTGTTAGGAGCCAGAAATTGACATGACAGGACACAAAATAACAGCAGGAACCGTTCGAGGAGTCCTGGTGGCGTGGTGACTAAGCATCACTGAATTGACGCCACTAAGACATTGGTTAAAAAAAAGGCTGCATTACTGAGAGATGAACAATAGATAAACATAATAGTGGGGTAGGAGAGAAAAAATATGAAGAAAAAATATACAGTGAACCCTCGCCACTTCGCGCTACCCGCTTCGACTTCCACAGCTTCACTCTATTGCGGGTTTTGCTAACAGCACCCACTGCCTACACCCGCTCCTTCAGAGGAAAAAGACGGTGACCCACCTGTAGAGTACATCCCTTAAGTCATTTCATAGGCTATTGATTACAGTATTTGTAAGAACTATGTATAATAATACTGTATATGAAATAT